AGCCTTCTTGAATGTTACTGTAATTTGCAGGGTGATGTCGGCAATTGATTTCCAATTGATGAAAAAATTTATGTTTTTCTAGTATTCATTATGTAAGATTGAAGGAATGAACATATAACGAAAATCATAAAATAAATTGTTATAGACCATATATGTGCAGACTATTTATATGAAGTTAATTTGATAAAATTGATTTTTACGAATAGTATATGCCTCACAAGTAATGATTTGCAATGACAAAACCATCGGAGTTCCACTGGAAATCCACAAAGGAAAATAATTGTTGAACCACGTTTCTTGATTTGGCTAGTATGTATCTGTAGGAAAAATATTACTTCCACTGAAATCTCTGCAAAACCAAAGTATCAAATGTATATTCAAATAACCTTTTTTGAAGCCTACTGTTGTATACTTTTTTACCAATTAATCCACATCAATACTGGATATAAAAACTATTCTGTGTTTACTTCTATACGGTGGTATAAATAACTCACCTTTCATGTTGATACCCAGATCGATCATTTTGACTATGCCCTGATGTTTGCAGCGCATCTTTAGGTAGTAGCCTATCCGTAGACACCGAGGTCTGAGGTCTCTCGCCGAGAGGAAATCGTTCCGAAACGCCTTGATATCGTTCACCTGAAGGCAGCCGGTCAGAACTGCTGCGCTCCGAACCGAATCGCTCTGAGCAACTTCGATCTTCGACAAAACGATCCTGAATCGAGTATCGTTCAGTCGACGACGTTTCCAGGAGGTTCTTTTCGCTCGTATAGCGATGTGTAACGCTGTCCTGCTGCTGTCGCTGATCAACTGCGGGAAGAACACAACCAGCAGGACAAGGAATGGACAGAGAAGGTGGCTGGGACTGAGAGGCATGTTGCTGCAACAATATCTGTCTTCTGGCATAATCATCGTCCGCAGGCATCCTGGTGGCCCTGGGCCCGTTGTCAGGACATCTGGAAAGATGAAATAAAAACTATTTTTGGGACAGTTCAACAATCACAGTTTTAGGGTAGATTCGAAAGAGATTATGAGTACAAGGCAAGCTCATCGGTAAACCTGCTTCAATTCATTATTTATTAGTCATATTAGGAAACGCTAGATGAAGTTCCAGAAATTCACACACGTTTTCGCTACCTCTTGAACATTTACTACAAAGTAAACAAGTGAGGATTTTTCCAGCAAAGGATTTACAAACACAAGACGAGATAGACTGTACGGAATCATTCAATCCAGAGCGGTCAGGAGTATTGATTCTGTTATTGTTTTTCCCACGAAGAGTATTCAACAAGAACCCCAAGAATTCATGAGCTTAAATCAAGCTTAATTAAATAGGAACGTAATCTTACCCTGTAATAAACACATAAATTCTGTGTCGCGTTTATTTCTGAAGTTGAAATTCATTTATTTTCCCGGATTAACGAAATATTTATTAGAAATTACCGATAATGAAGATTTCTTCAAACTTGTAACATTCCTCTTGTTGTTTAAAACTGGTTGACAATGTTTCATGGTGAATTTTACTAGTTCGGACTTCCAATGTATAATATGATATAAGTATGATTTGAAATCTCTTGAAGAAGAAATTGAATTAAAAATTTAAATGAATAGCTAAAAATAACAATTATATTGAGCAATAAATATAATGAAATGAAAATAAGCAAGAATTCAAAAAAGTAAACAATTAAAAATGAAATAATAATCAAGATTTCAATCGAGGTTACTTCACGACACGTTCCGATTGTTAGTATCCACAATCGTCTTCGAATGATAACTGGACTATTAATAATAATATGTTTATTTTCTCATACGATATAAATTACATGGAGTGCTATCGAAAATAAATAAGATAATCACAGAAGCCACAGAAATATATAGCTTTTTCGTGATGAAACTATGTTGTGAATTAAGTGTATAAATACTTTTACATTACATTTACATTTCATTAAAAAATAATGAGTGGTCAATAAATTATTGAATAAACCTAACAACAGAAACAGACAGAATACATAGTTATTTTCATCTACTCAATAATTGCTCGGGTCAAATTGATGTTTGGTATAGTTTGATTAATGAAGACAGAAAAAAAAGTTCTTTCGGTATTCAGAATAAATTTATTTACTTCTCTGTTAAACATAGAAGAATTGTTGATATTTTTAATTCTCCTAGTAGTATTTGGTACAAGCGTGGTCCGAGATATGTTGCGTTTCTTTGCCCTATAGTTTTGTCACATCGTGATGCATTTAAAGAGTTTCCTTTTTTCCTAGTATTGTAAGAGTGAATGATTGGTTCTATTTTGATGTTTCCTTTTTTGACATTACTGAGTATGCTCATACAAAAAAGTTGTCGAATATCACACACACTTTCTTCTTTAAATAAGGCCTCAGTTGGATGAGTTTTTTTTTCTATTAAATATAATTTTCAGTATCCATTTCTGTATGACATTTTTTAGATTCCTAAGATAACAATCATTTACTCATTCCCAACCTATTATACCATAAGATAGTTGTGATTGTACAAGTGCAAAGTACAATGTTTTCAAATTCTGAATGTCAGGAAAATTTTTTAGGCGATTGAACTTAAAAAGTGTACCTCTTAACTTTCTGATTATTTCTTTCATCTGTAGGTGCCATCGAAAATGCCTATCTATATAGATACCTAGATATTTTATTGACTCGCCTTCAGGTATGTGATTATTATTTCCTATATTTAAGTATCCTATATTGGGTAATGTACTGCAATATGACGTGGAGGGTTAATATTTGGTTTTTTCGGAATTGATAGTGAGTTTATTGTGACAGAAACATTTTTCAATCTCAATAAAATCTTTTTCTGCAAAAGCTTTTAGTTGGTTCCATGAAGAGTCGGTATACAAGACAGCCGTATCGTCAGCAAAGCTCAAAATTGTACCTTTTGTTGGTATCTGTAGCAGCTCATTTAGATATATTGTGAACCTATCCCCTCTTCCCTCTCTCCGCTTTACCAGTTTAGTGGGAGTTAACCGTTTTTCTGCTTGATTAAAGGTTTCCATGTGTTACACATATCTACGCTAGCTGGCGGAATGCGTCTTTGGACAACATATATGCAGCGTCTTTGAACTTTCTCTTATATCAGTGTTCCTCCCTGTGGATGATCTCAGCTTGGGACCACTTGATGTTATGTTGATGCGTCCAAACATGCTCTGCTATTCCCGATTTGCTGGTTTCTGTTCGCTGTGTGTTTCTCTTGTGCTCAGCAATGCGGACTCCCAATGGTCTCTTAGTTTCACCGATATATAGGATTTGCCGCACTGACAGGGTATCGGGTAAATGCAATTTTTGGAATCGCAGTCCGCATTTGGTGGCCTGCTTTTCGTGAGGCTGCTACGGATGATGTTTCCAGATATGAAGCAGGTTCTGATGTTCTAGTTGGACCCAATTAACTCTTTTTATCATTTCCAATAATCCTTTGACATAGGGAAAGGTAAGCACTGGTTGTGACGGTTTGTATTCTTTGTGAGGCTCTTGCTGTCTTCTAGCCAAAATCTGTTTCATCGTCACTTTGGGGTTACCATTCCGTTGAAGATATTTTTTGATGATGCCTAGTTCCTTCTCGAGACCTTCCTCCATATGACAGGGCCCGAAAACACCAGAGTCTTGATGATTCATATTTTGGTAGATTGATGGTGGTTGGATTCGTGATTCAAACACTGTCCTGTGTGAGTGGGTTTTCGGTATACAAATGTTTCCCACTTAGTGTTGGCCCTCTTCACCAATACGTCTGAGAATGGCAATTCGTTGTGGAATTTCTTCTCTATTGTGAAGTTGATGGAAAGTTTTGAGCTGTTAATGTGCTTCAGAAAGGTGTCTAGTTCTGTATTCCTATGGTTCCATACTAAGAAGGTGTCGTCAAGGTATCTCAACCAGACTTGGGGTTTCTTGTGGGCTTCTTCAATGGAGTTCGAAACTCTGGCCATTTAATTATTTATTTCTTTCAATTTTTGCTTATTTTCATAATATTGTTTTTATTGCTCAATTTATTCATTTATTGCTCATTTCAATTTTATGTTTCATGTTCAAATCATATATCATATTATATATCAAATTAGAAATGGAAGTCCGAACTAGTAAAATATTCCTCTTGTTTTTGAGGAATGTTATTGAAAAGAGAGACTATAAAAGACATTTGATGAATTATAACCTATTGAAATAGATTTTTTATTAATGACAGAAGCAAGTTCACCTTCGATATAATATTTATTTTGAAAGTTGTACGTACGTGTTTGAATATTCCGAGATTCTGAAATTTTACTATTTAGTTAAAGCACCAATCGAAGAAACTATTAGTCCGCGTTCGATTGTGGGCTCGTGAATTTTTGTCCATTCATAATATAATATTTGGCTATTACTGAACTATAGATCATTGCTGTTTTCTCTGATATCCACTTTGAGTTTTTGAAATCAGAATCTAGAACCTGTCGGTCGGTAGCCAAGCGGTTCGGCGTGGGTGCTTTGTTCACTCACTCGAATTGCCTGCCGTGTTGTTCGGTGGTTCAAGCCCTAGTCTGAACGATCGATCTTCACTTGTTATCGTCCAACCCGTGTTAGAAATCACACTTTAAAAGATAAGACCTCGTTAATCCTTAGCTCGCACAAGTTTCTACTTCTGAGGGTTGTCGTTCGTAGGGGTGTGACAGCTGGTTAACGGAAAAACAGAAACAGACAGACAGATGTATTGAGTATGGTTTATGACTCTTCATCATTGAGAATATCTAACGATTTTTCAATCTGATAATTTTTAGATTTGTCTGATTCAGTTAATATCAAATCAAGATGATTTTTGGAAAATGCTTTCGTTTTCTTTGAAAAGTTGGAAAAACCTCAACATATCATCTCTAGAAAGATATATTAGATGACGAAGCTCTATTTTCAGTTAGAAGAGAATACCCCTATTTGCGAAGCCTTTAAGAACCTCACATCCAGAGTATAACAATATGATAATGATGTGTATGTTTCATTCAACTCAATCATCGTAGAGATGAATTGGAAATTTTTACTTCACGAGAAATCTGGAAAATCCACAGAATCTCAGATACAAACATACCATGAAGAAGCTTTAGGCATAACAATGGAATTGGGGTACATGAAATTAAATTGTGAGCCGTTTCATTACGTGCGACAGCCTATGAATACGAATTATTTTGAAAGAAAATAAGGTTATAGAAGAAATCGAAATAAATCTTACCTGTGAAGGTCGCCGTGGTGATCCGTAATGACGGCGCCAGGTCTATAGGGGGGCTAACCCCCCTGGCCCCGCCTACCACATACTGTTTATAGGTATCTGAAAAATGGAAAAAATACATTTGAAATCATCTGATAAAAAATGAACTGTTTCTTAGGACGATTGTTTTACTACTCGTATTGTTCAAAACATACATTATAAATTCCAATATTTTTGGTGAATACTAAACATTTGGATGTAGGTACATTACCTTAAAGAGTTAACGGATATAAAGATTGACAAGTATAGTAATGAAATGAAAAACTTTGAATACAAAAACGACTGCAAATTATTGAATGATTATCTGGTCTACATCTCAGTCATATTTGATTAAAACAGTATTTCCAATTTTACAACGAATTTAATTTTGATTTTTGTTATTCTCAATGTTACTCTCAATCAAAGCACAGACATTCGTTGTGTTTGTTGTTGAGCAAGCAGAACGACTTTTTTAGGCTGATTTTGTAGATATTGTGTGTTTTACTGGCTTAACGTTAGGCTTGCACAAAAAATAATATTTTCTTGAATCAGACTAAATCATGATTTTAGACTCCCATTGCCCCTTTTCGTCGATTTTCTACAGGTTTCTATCTGTCTGTTAGGGTTACGTTAGGTCTAGAGTGAGCGGGTCTATTCGACATTCCACCACAACCCGCAAGGGTTTATTGTGGCTAACACCTATTCATAATCGACCAAAGAAACCCAGCTTCTTAACGAAGCCGATTAGTTTGTATAGTGAGTAGTCTTTCTGGTCAGATGGTAAATGTACGGCTCTGCCGAACTTTAATAACCTGATTAGGTCCCCAACGGGGCAGGTAAAAAGTATATACTCTGCGTTTCATAATTTTCCAAACAGAGGCGACACACACTGTCTTCCTACAGTCCGAGTCTCTGCATATGATGATTCAAATGACAGTGACCTGTAAGAAGGCATGGTTAGACATCGTAGTTCATCCCTACTGTAGTTTAACAACTGTTTGGTATCAAACTTCGAAGGGTGAATAAACGCCTTGGAGTGAGCCAATCTTGGAAGATTGTGCCAGAAGTCTATAAATCTTCTTGCCATCCAGGTATTCAATGTTTGTTTGGCAAAGCCTAAAGCAATGCCAATGACATGTTCTGGTCCGATAAAGTTGCTTAAAACCCCCCTCCTTGGCAAGGGAGTCAGCAGCTTCATTGCCTTCCAGGCCAGTATGGCCAGGAATCCAGACCAGAGACAATCTGTTGAGTCTTCCTATCGAGGAGAGTCGTTTTTGGCAATTTGCTACTATTTTAGACATTGCACGGTAGTAGCCAAGAGCTTCCAACGCCGCTTGACTGTCCAAGAATATTTTTATTGACTTGTGTGTGAGGTTGAATTTATCCAATCTTTCCGCACACAATTCAATAGCGTAAATTTTCTCTTGAAATACAGTCGCATAAGTTCCTAGGCAGGTAGATATCGCTGTCCTGGGTCTGCGACTAAAAACACCTGCACCAGAACCGGAAGATATTTTTGATCCATCTGTGAACCAACAACTATCTGCTCTTAATATCTTCTTCTCCCGTATCTGTGTGTTCTGCTAGCTTTACCGTTAAGCAGGCAGAATCAAATAGAAATCCTCTGCGGAAATTTTGAACTTGAACTTTCGTAAAAGCGATAGGTTCACCAACTTATGAGCTTGCCAAATACTTGACAACCCCACTGCAGCCGTTTATAGGAAATACAGAGTCACTCAAAGACTTCGACGTGGTCTCCTTGTATACTCATTTCTAGTGGCATGGTGTTCCAACAGACAAACGAATGGTACCGCAATGGGCAATCCATTAAGTCCGGCGGAAGCAAACTTTTTCATGGAAAATTTTGAACAACGGGCCTTGAAGCAAGTGGCCACGAAACCATATTGTTGGCTGTATTATGTTGACGATACGTTCATGGTATGGCAAGATGGTGAAGAGTCACTAAAAGATTTTCTATTACATCTCAACTATCTCGACCCAAAAATGCAATTCATAATGGAACGAGAAACCCATGGGACTCTAGCCTTCTTGAATGTTCTTGAGAACAGACGTGAAGATGGTGCATTCGGCCACAAAGTGTACAAGAAACCAACACACACAGACAGGTTCCTGAACAAAATCTCTAACCACCAGCCACAACAAAAAGAGGGGTAATTAAAACATTGGTTGAGATAGCACGACGTATCTATTAAGCTGAGAATCTCCCTGAGGAACTCAGTCACCTGAAAAATGCTTTCAAACGGAGTGGGTTCAGCGAAGGAGAATTCGAGCAGGCCATACGACCCAGGAGAGAGAACACCAAAGTAACCCCAGATAGGCTGGTCAAGGGAAAAGCTTTCCTTTTTCGATTGGGAGAATCTTAGAAAAACACGACGTGGAACCAATATTTAGGTTAACAGAAACTAACAGACTAAGTATTAGGTTAGCTAAGGACCTCAGAGAACCTTTACCAACACCCGGGATATACCAGATTCCTTGTAGCTGCGGGTAGGTCTAGATTGGAACCACGAAATGAAGAGTAGGTACCCCCGCCTCTGAACACAAGAGAAATTAATATTACTGGAGTTTTCTCCCAACACCGAACCGTTATTTCAACACCAAGTGATCATCTTCAAGAAGAAGATCAAATTGAAGATGATCACTTGGTGATCAAAACACGTGTCGAGGTGTTGAAATAACGTTTTGATGTTGGGAAGAAACTCCAGTAATATTAGTTACCACACCAAAGGTTCCAAACAGTGCATCAAAAGTACAACCCCTTCCATNTATTTTTTTATGAAAGTTCTGAACGTAAATTGTACCTTAAAAATAATTTGATTCATTTTAAAAAGAGTTGAAAAAAATACCTTTAAATCTTCAAATTATCTCCGTACTGATATCCATAACCTTAAATCAAAATTCAAAAACCAGCTCACACTTCCAAAACATAAAACATCTCAATTCCGGAATTCTTTCTCGTATTATATAAATTGGATATACAATGGAATACCGAATTCCCCATATATCCCTATACATCGATGATGTTCATTATATTCCAAATTTTGATTTGTCGAGTCTTTTCAGCTGATGTCGTTAAGCGATTTTTAGACAATTTTTCTCTACGAATTCGAAGGAAAGGAAGGTATAGGCATATACGTAGTAAGTGTAAGTTTACACTAATTTATGTAACATATTTTGAGAAGATAAGAGTATACGTAGAGTTTTCAAAAATAAGGAAAATGTTCAAATTTCGCGGGCTACATAAATTCGATTAGCGATTTTCTTATATTGTACACTCGTCTCGAATATATGTTTCCAGTTTCAGCTGTCTAGCACAGTGGTACCCAAACTATGGGTCGCGACCCACTGGTCGCGGCATATCCGTTAGCTCATGCCATGCAATTTTTTCGAAAATGTTGGGCATGATGCGTGTGGCAGCAAAGTTCTTTCCAAAATTGCTGAAGTTTGACAAAAAAACCGTCGCATGAGCATCGCTCAGGAATTGTTGAATGACGTCAACGTCGATCCAGATTTGCTTGGAAAGGTCATAACTGGTGACGAATCATGGTTTTTGGTTATGACATCGAAACCCAAGTCCAATCGTCCCAATGGAAGAGCACAGAAGATCCAAGTTCGATCAAATGTCAAGGTTTTGCTTACTGCTTTCTTCAGTTACCTTGGCGCAGTGCCTCAGGAGTTCTTGCCACATAGTCGTATGGTGAATAAGGAGTATTATCTTGAAGTTATCCGCCGCTTGCAAGAGCAATACGTCATTACTTGTTCGTAATATTTTCACCAAAAATAACACCGTAATCATGCTTCAGCCATCGTATTCACCAGATTTGACTCCCTGCGACTTTTTTCCTGTTCCTAAGATTGAAGAGACCCATGAAAGGACGGCGTTTTGCGACGATTGAGGAGATAAAAACCGAATCGCTGGGAGAGCATATCAGAACTGCATATCAGAACTGCATATCAGAACTACTTCAAAGAATGGAAAAAATGCTGGCACAAGTGTATTATATTTGAGGAGGAGTACTTTGAAAGGGTCAGAATAGAAATTGGACAGACAGCGTATAAATCACATTCTGTGCATGTGCCCTCTGCGCAAATTTTCCAAATTAATAAAAAAGTACTTATTGCAAACTAAATAGCCGTTTATGATATCACTTTGTTGATCAAGAGTTATACTCGTGTATTACATTTCCCAGTTATATTTCCGATTCTCAATGAATATCTCATTTCCATTCCACAAAATGGAATGCGGATTGCCATTCTGTTTTCTGTTTCTACGTATTTTGGTATTTTGTGTAAGAGGTGCATAGAAAGGGGTACTTATTTTCATTTGCTGATATATCTGCGCATACAAATGTCAAAAACATCTGGAAACAGTTTTATCTATAAACAACACATACTTAATAACTAGTATATGAATAATGTTAAATACCTTCCAGTGAAAATCAAAACAAGTTAATCCACATCACCAATAAGTTATTCATCACTTTCCACGGCCGCAATAGGATGGAAGTGGATAATGTATACGCCTAAACCGAATTGCAAAATGGCGTTCGCGCTGAGGAAATGGAAACACAAAACATTATCTCAAACACACGACCACTTCAATAATGTCAGAATTACACTTGAAATTACACCAAAAAAAAGTTAATTTCACTTCTCGCTTTATAGTTTCACTCAAATCAAATGAACCAGTTTTCACCACCAAGTCTCAAACTGTCATTACACCATTTCCAAACAGACTCGTCTAACCAACTTCGACGTTATTTAATTAATCAGAACCTATCGCACATTAGTTCAAAACCTTTGATTCAACTAACAGTTATTATATCTTAATTGAAAGTAGTTTTTGCTCGATAAAAATAACCAAAACGTATAAATAACCCGAGTTATGTTTTAAGGTAGCGCGACACACATATACAACCCCTATAGTCTTATTATCGACGTGCGCTCTCGCGGATTCGGGGGTGGGGAGTTCAACGACTCTGGAGGAGAAATTGCCGCCTCTGATGGAAATGTCTGGTCTCAATAATTTAGTTATTATTGCAGTTTTTGATGTCGAAGATGGCATTTTCAACTATTTGGTCACAATAAGTTTTGATAAATCAATGTGAAGTTATACTCAGAAGTTATTTCTACTAGGTACCCATCTGTAGTTTTTATGATACAGTCAAAACAGAAACATCAAATATTTGTTTGAATTTTCGGGGATGTTTTATATAATAAAAGATCCGAAAAAATAACTGTTCCTCAAACAAACTTTATATATTTAACACACTATCTGAAATTCTCATTCTACTAGGCGCCACCACAAGAAAGATTTCTGTAATTTATAAAACAAAGTACCTACTAGATATTTTTTTTAACCTATGGATAAGGTATTTAGGATTTCCATGATCCATATTCAGAAGTCCAGTGAATATTGGAATGCAAACTGTAAATCCTGACACGTAGCAAAAAAATTACTAATTTATTGTAGTGGAACATTTAAACTTCTACAGTGAATTTCTTTAATGTCCCCCCCTTTTATTTTTTGAGCGGTCCAACTCAAAAAATTGAAATTTGGGATAATGAAATTAATGCAAGATGGCGACTAGGCGCCATCTAGGAAAAAATCAAATAGAAAGAGGAGTCACATTTTTTGAAGCTCCTGACGAATACTTCACAACCCTAGAATATGGAGTCCATATCTTCACCTACTACAAAATGGCGGAACATTTAATAATTTCCTGAAGATAAACACTTTGATATTGATATTTCTAGAAATATTCCTTTTGGAATTGCCATATGGCAATTCCAACAACCCGATAAGGTTTGTTAAGTTATTTTTTGTTTGCCGTTATTGGAGTGACACCAACCCTCACGTTTTCCGGGAAACATATACCCAAAATCCAGAAAAAATATTGGGAAACCATATTGTAGGACCTCTATTTATTGATCAAAATTCAACAGGGGAACTGCATTTGAATATGCTGGAAACTACTCTTGACCCTCTCATCACTGAGATCGTCGAACCCGTTAGTCAGGGAAGCCACAGATTACGCTGTAGACGACCCCTCCCGATATAGAAGGCCCCGACACTCTGTCGAACGAGGCCCTCATGTCACCCGTTAACGGATGAATAACTTTCTCATCCACCCCACCCCAGCCAGGTAAGGGTATCCCGTGAAGGGCGGTACTGATGTCTGAGGACTTCATGCCGTCATACCATCAGTCATGTACATATTGGTCTTTCGCGACCAATAATCCGCCAAATGGGTAGGGGAGCTGGACTCCAAGCCTAAACGAAACGAGGATGACTTTCCACTGAGATCGTCGAAGCGAATCCTAATGAATTCGATATGGATATTGTATTCCAACAAGGTGGAGCACCACCACATTACTCCAGACAAGTAAGAAACTATTTGGATACTACTTTTCCCGGTTGTAGGATTGGCCGTCGGGGTCCTACAGAATGGCCAGCCTGCTCGCCAGATTTGACACATTTGGACTTTTTTATGGGGCTATTTGAAGCAAAAGGTGTACGAAACTGAACCTGCTTCAATATTGGATATACGGCAGAGAATAATAAATATTTGTAATGATATTGACGTTACTGTGTTCGAAAATGTTCGGCGTGAAATATCGAATAGGCTGTTCATATGTCAAGAAGTTCAAGGCAACCATTTCAAGCATCTTCTGAACTGACCTCACGCTCATTACCTCATATTATGTACTTAAATGCCAATGTATTCAGGCAATTATTAAAAGTTCCGTCATTTTGTAGTAGTTGAAGATATTGATATTATAATCTAGGGTTATGACCCCCTTTCCATTTAATTTGGAATGGCGCCCAGTCGCCATCTTGAAAGTTTCATCTGTCAATTTCACTTAAAAATAAAGTATTCGTGCATTCATTTCATTATCCCAAATTTCAATTTTTTGAGTTGACCCTTTGAAAAAATAAAACGGGAAGGACATTAGGCTGGTTATCTAATTTTTTTAAAATATAGTAATGTTAAGGCAAACAAACAACGGCTGGGCATTCATAAATTTGGAAAAATGCCAGAAGAAATTGCAAAACTTATGATATGACCAAACGCAGAGTTTCTGCTACATCATTAGTGGACTTTGGAACAGATATAACCACATTGAAAGGGCATGGTGGTTGGAGATCACCAACAAGACTCTATAGATGCAAAAACAAATTTTTTTGAAAGACATTCCTTTTATCGCTTCCGTTGTAGCAGTATTTCACAAATAAATAAAAATAATAACATTGGCAGATATGAAACATAGAAATTATGCATAAAAGAACGGATTACGAAAGGAACTAATGTGGCATAATGTAAAAATGAAATATTACCAATTTTTCCATATATACTTTGTGCCTGCCCCACTGGGGACCGAATCAGGTTTTTAGAGTTCGGCAGAGCTGTACTCTTTCCATATGACCTAAAAGACACTTACCATACAAAATAATCGGCTTCGTTAAGAAGCTGGGTTTATTTGGTCGAGTGTGGATAAGTGTGACCCACAATGAACCCTTGTGGGTTGCGGTGGAGGGTCGACTAGACCCACTCACTATGGACCTAACCTAATAACAAATTTTGTCAGTCTTTAAGGAATTTATTCTTCAGATAAGTGTTTCAGTGCATTATTTTTCATTTAGGAGTAAAATCAAAATGAATCAATACTTAATTTAAAAATATTATATGCTATGAAAATTGTGTAAATTTCAATTTTCCATGAGAATAGATTTTACATTTACTAACCCTTGAGATAGACCATATATACGCGGGCTTAATGCACAGTCCAATTATATAGATAATATAAAAATATAATTAACTCACAGATGACTTGATTGTGTGTCGTAGTGTGATTTTGCTTTCTTCGCAGGAGGCTGCTCACTTTCACTTTCTAAATTATCACTATCAATTTTTAATCATTTTTAAAAATTATCATTTCAGCAAAACACTGGTTATGTATACTGTAGTATACACAACTGTATACACTGAAGGTATAGCTAGTGTGGCGAGAGAGATAGCGTAACGCGAACCAGTGGGAAGGTAATCGCACAATCGCTTGCGCATGGCGACCCGTCGCCACGGCATGCATCGCCACGCCTGCAATCGGTTTTACGTGCGGCTATAGATATTTCGCACATAAAAAATGTGAGAATCTTCCAAAAAAGGTAGATCTCAATTGATTTTAAATTGAACCATTCACAAAGAGGTGTATATCATGCAAAAGAGTAACTTTCAGACACAAACTGGGAGAAAAAGCTTTTTTTGCAACAACTACTTTCTTATGAGAAAAAATACTTTGAAATAACTACTTTTATATGAACATTGTTTTAATAAAAATATACTTATTTCTATTCATTTACAGGTTTGCTACACAATATCGTATAAAAAAGAGGTAAAGTTTCACTTACATGGAACACTGTCATCCTCAATGGTGGACAATGGACATTCATAAAATTACGACTTCATACCACGAATGAGTTTAATCTACTCATATCGTTGATGACATTAAGTAATGGTTGAAAAACTAACATGGGACAAAATTTTGAGGTTTTTTGCAACTTTCGAACTTGACTTGATGTCTGACGAAGGCACAAAGTCGAAATTCTGATTGAGCATCCCCAAAATCATATACATTGGACGAGTTCATGAGAAATTTTTTTTCATAATTTTTTATCCGCCAAATCGTTGGTTACCAGAACTATTTGGAAAAATTAATATTTCGCATTAAATTTGAATAATTAGTTCTTTTGATGCATATATTTTTTTTGAAGAGAGAACCTGCACAGGTATTCAAATTTGGAATGGAGAAAGTCAAGTGCCTTTCCTGGGGGAAAGGTATTTTCAGGAATAATATCAAAGATGCAGATTTTTTTCATTTTGTTGTATGATTAAAAAACTGATGAAAAGTTCCTCAAATTATATTTGTTACTTGAAGTATTCATCACTGGTATTCAGGAAAGTACTCGACACAATAATCATGCAATAAAATCACTACTGATAGTACTTTTTAAAGTTGTTATTTTTCATAATAACTCCTAGAGTATGTCCTAGGTATATATCCCATCCTTCCAATGGAGTTCATACTATAATCATGGTTACCAAATTCAGGATATGTCTTAATGTTTCTATCTGCTCCTTTGTGGTCATTGTAGTTACTGACTCCGTTGTATTTTTGATTATCCTTGTATCCAATTTGCTCATAATTGGAGTAGCTTTTTTCGGGTTGTAACCACCATATTAAAAATAAAATTGACCCAGATACCAATAATAAAACTAAAACGGGCAACAGAAAGTTTTTGAAAAACTCATTCTTTTTCAGAATATTTACAAATGTATTCAGCATATTGATAACCTTGAGAAATATTAGCGGAATGTACCCCACTAAACCGAAATTATACAAAACTTTTTGAATCTCATTTGAATTACCATTCGCTACATTATAATTAGTACTATAGGAATATGGACTGTCAATATTTGCAATTCCATAAAAAGCTTCTCCAAATAGCTTTTCTATAATATCTGGTAAAGCTACGATGATTCTATCAACAATCTTAACAATGATGGAAGTTGACAAATCATCTTTTTTCCTTTGAACTTTACTTGATACCACCTTTATTGGAAAATTATTGTATGAGGGGTATTTATATGGGTAGCTTGAATAGTATTGAGGATGAATTGATGATGATCGGCGCGTGTTTTTCAGTTCTTCATCTGAAACAAAATTCACATTATAGTTTTGTAATTAACGTTACGTTTGGCTCACCTAACTGGTTATTTGAATCGGTGCTTCTGTTTTCAGTTTCTGCATCGACCGTATTTTCATCAAAAAAGTAACTTTTTAATTTTCTTGAAATATCATCGTAGAGCTCAGAATCTGAAGAGCGTTTTTTTATGTCTACAGATC